CTACCACCCCGGCCTGCACCTCTTACACCTGTCACCACCTACCCATCTCACTCCACCTCTGCACCGCCCTGTTCCTTGCCTAGCCACCAGCTACCCGGATCATCCAGCTTCAGCAGCTCGGTAATCGACAACTAAGAAAGAAACGGCAACTTAGAGGGAGCCAGGCGACGTCCACTTCAGACAAGGCAATATCGTGCCTCCCGGTTCAGGGAAGGAAGAAGAGCACCGTAAACATGATGTGCCTCCAGGTACAAGGGCCAGGAGAAACACATGGGATCGGCAACATGGGATCTTTACACAATCTGAGACTACCTACCCACACAGTTGCATATGCATAATCCTCTCTTAATCACCTGGTCTTTAGCTAACTGCATTGTAATGTAAATGTTAGTTGGCTCAGGTCAGTCCTCCTTGTACATCTTCTGATCTGTAGGGCTCAAGGATCGAGAAAGTGTTAAGCAAGGGAGAGGACTGGGTAAAGGGTTTAAAGGGTTTAAAGGGTTAAAAGAGTTTAAGCAGAGGAGTATGTGATACGCAACCTCACGCCCCCTCGCAGCTTCCCGTACGGGGTCGCCGATCAGAGTTCTAGGAGGGGCGTGGCCGAGGATTTTTGGCCGTAAGGGTTGAGTCTCCCGGACGGAACGGGAGACTCTCGTTTCTTGGCCGAGGTTTTTCTCGGAGTTGAACTGTCGTCGCGAAGTCTTGCGGGGTTCGGATTACTCCGTAACGATAAAATCAGAAGGGTTTCTGTGAAAATGAATTGTCGTCGTGCATCGGGACGAGAATAGGCATCAAGGGGAGGAGGCCATGGCGGCAGACGGCAAAAACTCCGGCCGTCATGGGTTCCAGGGATAGGTGGTGGGTTCGAAGCCTTCAGGCCTCGTCATCGGCCTCACGAAGTGGCCGAACCCTCGGGTCTTTTGCTGTAGAGGTGGTTGGTTCGAGGCGTTCAAGCCTCGGCGTCGGACTCATAGAGCCCGCGCGGAAGATTTCGGGAGGGTAAAGCGGCGGGAGGACTCGCCGGCATCTGAATTCGAAATTGCGCGGGCAGCGCCCCCGCACTACGGGAAAGCTCGGGGAAACGTGTCGCTCCCTCGTAACCCAGGACCAGCCGTCGCCACGAACACGAGTCCCCCTGGCGACACCAGCGACAATCAAACTGCGGTCGCCACGCGGCGTGAGCGGCCGACCAGAGCAACACCGTTAAGCCCGTATAAGGCAATATTAGAGTCGGGGAATCAAAGCGATCAATCAACATAAACCCGTTCCCCCTTAACTCACAAGCCCGAGGCGGGTCTTGCCAACACACTTGCTCCGTCCGCCTCAGCGCGCGCCGTACGTCCGCATCGCGGTAGACGCTGTCGTCATCTGTGATGGGGAAGGTCGGTAGCGAAATGAGACGATCGGAGGTACGTGATGAACACGGGCAAGATCCCGCGTTCCCGGTCATCCGAACCAACACCGAATCCATACAACAATCATCGCAACGCTTCTCTCTCAAAAGTGGGTGCGTAGGGGGAGGGTGACGAAATCTAAGC